TATGGTTATAGGACATAGTAAGGGTCTTATGTTATTTAGACATTCACCACTCCCTCTGTTCTGAATTCTGAAGTGCAGCGAGAGTAAAGGTTTTCCTACGTTACAGCACATGATGCTCTGCCCAAAACACGGCGGTGGGCTGGCTGCTCAACTTCATACTCACACTCAGAATTCTCTTCTTCCTATAAAAACTATTTTTTACAAAACGGTATTTACCTACTTGAGTTTTAACAACTGTTTCAGGCCTGGAAAGCCAACAAAATTGTTTTTTCATAAAATCCAGGTAGTTCTTTGTTTGCCTCAGAATTTGGAAGAAATCAATTTAGAGTGCCTGGAGGAGTTAAATGGAAGTGATAGGTTAAGTCGTGGTCGCACTGTCCCATGCATGCTGAACAGATGACAGAACGCACACTCGTAGTGTGCCTTCCCTGTTTTCTATCTTCTGTTTGGTTAAAAAGTAACCAGTTTATGACTAATATAACACTGTGTTGTAACTCCCCTGGAATTAGAAAGTATATTCCTCATAATTTGGTATAAAAGATGTAATACAGATTTGGAAAAAAAAAAACCTGTTTTATGTACTGTTTCTTCTTTTGTTCCTTTTCCTGCCATCCTTTGTTTTTCATTGTTTTTACTGAATTTGTGATTTTGCTGTTGACCTAACATGGTGTCTTGCCCTATGGACCTTCTCCACAGTACTTAGTACAGCACCTAATATAGTTTGGCACAAATATAATATAGTTGGTACAGTGTAGCATAGTACATTGTACACGCCATATCAGTAATTAGTAGTAAAGTATATAGTATAGTATGATATAGTTAGTATAATATAGTTGGTTGTGTTATTATTATCACCTAGGGGCGCCTGGGTGGCTTAGTCGGTTAAGCGTCTGACTCTTGGTTTTGGCTCAGGTCATGATCTCAGGGTCGTGAGACTGAGTCCTGTGTCATGCTTGTGCTGAGCACCAAGTCTGCTTGTCCCTCTTCCTCTGTTCCTGCCCTCCCCCCTGCTCCTGCCCTCCCCCCTGCATTGCATGTTCTCTCTAAAATAAATAAAATCAACATGATCACCTAATATGGTGAGGAATTATGAATTAGTAAATATGTGTTAATTTATTCTTAGGGGAGATTTTTTTTTTAATTTCCACCAAATATTTTATTAACTTGTTTTTAAGTTAATACAGAGATTGCCTTAAGACCTAGACACCCTTTGCAATTGATGCTTTATTTTCAAGTTCTACTGATTAACTTCCTGGTGACTTGTCTATTATCTTAGTTTTCATGAGAAATCTAGCTGTTGGATGAATTCTTTACATTTTCATTGCCTTCTTGAACTCTTTTCAGTAGTCACCTAGGTTACCAGTAATTTTTATATTTGAAATGATGCTAGTGACAGCTTGAACCTGATTTGAAAGTTGGTTGGACTTACACCCCCTTGATCCTCGCGTGCTTACCCCAGGATGCAGAGTTGTACTTCAGTCTTCCATGCTAATAGTCTCACCCAGGCCTTGAGTCAGTAGCCCCTTGGCTAAAATGTCTGACCAGCCTTGGGGCTGCCATGGCTGACTGTGGGGACCAGACCTGAAGACCACCTGGCCCACAGGTGCTGTAGGCTCATGGTGACCCTGCTGAGACAGGTTAGGTTTGGAAAGACCCAATTGACTTATTTTTTAATTTTTAACATTTTCCCCTGCATTTTATTTTGAAATTTTTCAGATTTTCAGAAAACTTGAATATTCAATGAATAACAAACACACACGCACATATATACCTTTCATATAGATTTGCCAGTTAACATTTTGCCACATTTCCTTTCTCTCTATATATAAAATTTATTTTGAGTGAGCATTGAAAATGCAGTATCATAACACCTAACCCCCCTATTTTTATCAGTATTTACCCCTAAGTACATACATCCTTTATACCATTTTTCCACGATACCACTATTATATCTAATACAATTACAATAATTCTATAATGTCATATATTCTATAGTCTATATTTAAATTTTCTCAGTTTTCCCTAAAATGTCTTTATAACTAGCTAGTTTTGTAGAATCCAGACCACTTGTCTTATATAGTTGTCCACATTGTGGCTTTCTACTTGCTTTCTTGTGATTAGATTTAGAATGTATAAAGGGTAATACTTATGTGATATGGTATACTTCCTGTTCCCTCACACCAGGAGGTACATAATGAGTTTGTCCCACTATTGATTGTACTTCTGACCCCTTGGTTAATGTGGTGACCAGTAGACCTCTTTATTGTAAAAGTGATTTTTTCCCCTTGTAACTAAGTTATCTGTAGGGTGATTATTTGGGGTTCTATATTCTATTCCCTAGTAACCTTTCAGCCAATGACTTTGTCATCCACTGGTGCTCCTTGGCTGAAATTGGAGATTACTTTGGAACTTATAAAACAGTGATTTTCTACTTCTGTTATTCCTTCTACTTTTATTAACTGGTATTGTTTCATAAAAAGGCCTTCCTTTTCTCCTTGCCCCCTCCTTCAGAACCCTGGAGAGAGAGAGAGAGAGAGTGTGTGTAGAGGCACACTCTTCGACATGTACGTACTGAGTGTGTTACCAGGCATTGTCATTGTTCTTTGATGTTCACATTGTTCCAAGTGTGGCCAGTGGGAGCTGCTTGAAGCTGGCTTCTCTGTCCTTTTGAGCACTTCCTTGTTTCCTGGCACAGGAAGGTGTCTTAGGCTTATTTTGTACTTTTCCTGCTTTAGGCCTAGAATTAATCATTTCTCTAAGATACTCTGTTCCTTATACTAGGAAATTGTATTTAGAAACCAAGATTTGGATATTAGGGGCCACTCATTGCTTTTAGAGTTTCATTGCATCTATGCTCTTTCAGGGGGCAGAACTAAAAAGTACTATCTTTTAAATATTATAGGAATAATCCAGGAAATAATATTTTTTAAAGATCACAAGTATGTATTGATTTGCCTAATTCAAACTTAACATTGCATTTCTTCTTTTATGTTTGTATCTCTTCTCCTACAGTAATATTTTGGTCACCATACAATTAATACATTTATTTACTTTATGCTATAATATACACAGAATGTTTCAGAATTTTAATATTAATATTACTAACAATAAGCCTTCCGAGTAAAGTTGAAGATTTCTTTGCTATTCTTTTTTGTCATTAGAAATTAGGTTTATTTGTTTTTGTTTGAGGTTTATTTGTTTTTGTTTGTATTAAGTTTTAAGAGTTTCTTTTGGAAAATTTTAGTCTTTAATATATAAAGCATATTCATGCTTCGAAGTTCAGCTGAATAAAGGCATACCTAGGGAAGCCTTACTCATCCCCCTGGCCCTCACCCTGCTGCCACCTAATAAGTGATGATTTTTATTAGTTTCCACTGTACCCTTACTTGTGGAAAGAAACCTATGTATATTTTCCCCTATTCCTGTATGTATTTTCTTATTTCTTTTTCTTATACCAAAGGTCACACACACTCTAAGTACATTTACTTTGCGTCTTGCTTTTATCAATCTTTTTTTATGGCTGGAGTGCTTGATGGCATGGATGTGCCATCATTTATGCAGCCAACCTTGTGGGGGGGGTGTTTCTAATATTTTGTTGTTATAAATCAGTGAATAACCTGTGATGATGTTGGTTTTGCCTGTGGGGGTATAGCTTATATAAAGGAATTCGCCCTGTTTTCTTCTCATGCTTGTTTGATTTGATTTTCTGTGTATAGCTCTCTGACCCATCTGCAGTTCATTCTCGTGTACGGTGTCTGGTTTGCATCCACTTTTATGTTTTTCCAACTGGGAGTCAGTTGTCTCAACATCACTTACTAAAAAGTCCACCTTTTCTCCCTCAGAGAAGGAAAGGCAGAGGAGTCCCTGGTTTTAAAAAGAAAAAAAAGGTCACAAAATTAGCACTCAGATGTGTGATCTAAGGGTTTCTTTAGTGTCCGTTTTATTGCCAAAAGGCCAAATGGGAGAATGATGCTTGACCCAGAGACACAGATGGGCTCCCTAAGATAACTGAATTGATAAGCCCCAAGTTACAGCTCCCTAACTTTCAGGGGCGAAATCTGGTCTAGCACATTTACTGTGTGGGTGGGCAGAGAGGCCCATCCTGAGAACAGCCTCTCTAAAAGAACAGCACTGGGTTTATGTGAGCTGCCAGTTCATTTAGAGTTCAGAATCAGTGCTAATAAGATCCAAGGCCACAGACTTCTCACCTGACACCGTTCAAGAGAAATGAAAATGCATGTGGTTTGCTTTTAATTGTGAGGAGTGGTGTTTGAGAAGATGCTGTCATGGCTTACATAGTTGTCAAATTGGTGGCAGTACTAGGAGGTAAGGGGCTTTTGGAAATGTGTGGGGGTGAGATTCATCACAGGCACTAGGGATATTACTGGCATAGATGGTGGAGAAGGGCCAGGGGTGTTAAGTGACCTGCAGGACACGGGAAGGGCAAGGCTGCCTACAACAGAGCTGTCACACTCAAAATGCCATGGCATCCCCATTGAGAAACAGACATTTAAGAGAACTTGGTTGGAAAAATGTAGTATAAAAACCTCTCAAAACTTCTGGGAAGAGTTCAAAGAGCATCAAAAACATTTGGGCTGTCACAGTGGATGAGGCTTGGAGCCTGCTCTTTTCAGTATTCGGTCTTTGATATTTGCACTGCCAACGGGGAGGTCGAAGGGGTGCTCTTGAGCACATTACCACCGAGTTTGTATAGGAGCACCTCTCGTTTGGCTTTTAAAAGAGAGATCACATTCATGTTTGAAACTGACACTTGAAAATTGTTAATAACCAGTTTAATAGTCACAAATAATTTTTTCTTTGGGGGATGTGTATGTGTTAATTTTTTTTCCTGTTTAAAAGATTATAAGATGAGATAATGTATATGAAACTCTTAGTTTGATATCTGGCATGTAGGAACTCAGGAACTATTAGTCATAACATTAACTTGTGTTTATAACAGTTGTTAATTAACCTTTGTTATATTTGTTATATATTTTCAGAGAGCTATTGCTTACCTTTTTCCAAGTGGTTTGTTTGAGAAGCAAGCCAGGCCAATAATGAAGGTAGTTCTCTTCATTAATATTTTTTAAAATTTCACTTAGGTTTATAATATGTTACAGTAATTATCTAATTCATTGTAATTTATTTTACAGCATCCTGAACAGATTTTTCCAAAACAAAGAGGTAAGTTTGCTCAAGAATGAATGAGCAGTTCTTCCTTTGCTGCAGTGTTATGTTACATATCAGCAGTTGCCCACATATGGTAGAGATACACCCCTGTGTTGTGGCAGTTGTGAGGTCGATCAGTGATATTTTATAAGTAACAATAAATGACTGGAATTTATAGACTATTTCTTTTTAATTAAATAATATAATTAGATCAGCTTAGAGTTTATGCCTATACTAATGTCATACTCATTTATTCATATTCTAATATGCTTTTTTGAGGAAGAGGTTGGTACAGATCTGGAGACTAATTCACCTTTTTTTATGTGAAAATTTAAAATTTTTGTTCATTTCGGAAGCATATTTTCACTGAATATAGACCCCCCTTTTTTTGTCTTTCCTTTATTCATATAATTACATTGTCTTTTGTCTTGCATTGTTTCTGATAAGCAGTTAGCCATCATTCTTGCCTGGCCCTCTGTTTTCTCTGGCTTCTTTTAAGATTTTCTCTTTATCTTTTAAATGTGTAAAATTAAATTTTGAAGAAAACATACAGCAGGCTTTAAGGTTGCCAGGAAATAATATATTTACTATTTTCCAATTTACATTAAAAGCCTGTTAGCCAATGTGGACTGGTGGTAGTTATCAGTTAATTTAAAAAGTACTAAAGCTAGGGTGGTTCAGTGGGTTAAGACTTGGATTCTTGATATCAGCTCAGGTCTTGATCTCGAGGGTCATGAGTTCAAGCCTCACATTGGGCTCCATGCTGGGCATTGAGCCTACTTTAAAAAAAAAAATTTTTTTTTAAGTACTAAAACTAGAAATTACTTCTTAAAAACACTCAGTATAAATTTATATTTATTCATCAGTCTTTTGCTACAACCCTAGAGGGGTTTTTTCTTTGAGCAGGTATCTGTTTCTCCCTGTTTCTTTTGCATAACTCTGCTGTCACTGACACATCATCAAAGTTTTTTAGTTTTGGTTTTCTCTTAGTGGAGCAAAGAACTTAAAACTTTCTAAGAAATCTGAGTGTAGAATATTTCTATATTTCTACAGATTTTTCCTCTAACCACACTGAAGTAGAGCAGACTTTTTTTTTTTTAGTAACTTGCCTTTCAGTTTTTTTAAAGCATTCAACTTAGTTTTCACAATAACAAAAACTATCTTTTCTGTTTCCACTCATATTTCATCTGTTTATGTAATACTTAATTCATGTAATTACAGAAATAAATATAATTGTAATAAACAGGTTTGGGAATGGACACAGCTGACTTAGTAAGCACGTAACTCTGCAGCAAAGATGTGTAGATTTCCTAGAGGAGAGCCTGCTAGCCACAGATGCTCATTGTACAGGCGGCATTACTCAGTATCTTTTAGAGCTGATTCAGTGGAGATTGGTAAGAGAGCAGATATTTCAATAAAAAATGTATTTGTTTTGCACTGATATTTCTGCTAAGTCTTAACCTGTGTTCAAAGCTAGGCATTCTTTTTTTTTAAGATTTTATTTATTTATTTGAGAATGAGCGAGAGAGAGCATGAGTAGGAGCAGAGGGAGAAGCAGAGGCAGAGGGCATGAGAAGGGGCCGAGGGAGAAGCAGACTCCTTGCCGAGCAGGGAGCCCGACATGGGGCTCGATCCCAGGACCCTGGGACCATGACTTGAGCTGAAGGCAGACGCTTAACTGACTGAGCCACCCAGGCATCCCCAGAGCTAGGCATTCTTTCATTCTGCTGCTCCACTTCGCTCCTTGAAATGATAACTTTTATTTTGAATCTTGTTATAAAAATTAGGGGTCTTTTTATAAATATATAGTCTTTTATATTTCCTCATTTCTTTGACATAGTTGATTATAAACTATAACATCATTTCAATTGATAGCTCTTGGGGAGATAATAAATGAAGGCTGTGTTACAAGTGCTCATCAGGGGGTTGCCTGGGTGGCTCAGTTGGTTAAGCGTCTGCCTTCGGCTCAGGTCATGATCTCGGGGTCCTGGGATTGAGCCCTGCATCGGGCTTAGAAACTTAATGGCTTTTCTGTAAATGTGGTAACTGATTTTTTTTCTTATTTTTAGTGGCTTCTCTATTTTTCAGCCTCACAGGCTCCTCACTTACATGTCTTTGTCTCTTTGCATCTCTTATATGTCTGCTCCTCTGAAACTGTTTCTTTCAAATCATACCAGCTTCTCAGTAATAGAAGTTTGTTATTACTATCAGCTAGAATGTAACAACTGAAACTTCTAGACATCCCTGCAAAATGCTCCTGTTATTTTGGAGCTATGTCAGTATTGGTAGGATTTTATTACATATTGCAGTTAACTATATTTAGACAGGATTCCTTTAGAATTAGCAAAATATTTTTTGCCACCTACCTACCAATTTTGCTGTACTTTGTAGACATAAGACAAACTCATTTTTTATGTTAAAAAATATCAGTGAAATTTAGATTTGAATAGATTATGATGCTTGTAAAGTGCCACCACTTCCTTTATTAAAAGATGGAAGCTTCCAGATAGAGTTAACATAAAAATCCTACTCTACTATTTAAGGCAAGTGATAAAAATACCGGGAAAAACAAAGATATATGCCAGATTGATGACAGACGCAAGGAATAGCACCTAACACTAAATGAAATGGAATTCAGGGGGGTCGAGGAGTGGTTCGATGAGACAAGAATGTTAATTGATATTGATAGTATCTAATACCCTTTAAGTGGATTTGACGACCATGAATCTTTTTGTACCATGCATTTAGTATTGAAATGTTCATAGCAAAAGCTGTTAACCAAGGCTCTAAAGAATTTGAATAACACAGTATGATTTTATAGCTACACATACAAGTACAAAGAATACATTTTCTATATGGATGCTAATGGAATATTAATAGAATTATAATGTAATAGTTCATAGAGAAAATCTAACAAATTCCAAAAAGTAGAAATGATACAGATTAGATCTTCTGACTTCAAATCAATAGAACCATAAAACTATTGGATTAAAGAGGAAATCAGAATGGAAATCACAGATTATTTAGAAATGTAGAAAGATGAGAACAGTTCATATCAAACCCTACAATATAGACAGGTATTATGCAGAGAGAGGTATTATGCAGAAGCAAATGTATTTATGAGACATTAACAGATACTAGAAATAAATGAACTCAGTATTCATTTCAAGAAAGTAGGAAAGGAACTAAATTGATGAATGAAGAAATTTTAAAGAAGAGGTAGGATAAATAAAACCAACTAGTTCTTCAAAAAAGCCAATGAAATTGATCAACTTCTGGCAAGTCTGGTCAAGGAAAAAAGAAAACATAAAATTTAGGACAATATTAATCATTTTAAATAATATTCAGAGGATATTTTTAAAGTGAAGATTGTTGTGGGTAGCTTTATTCTAGTTAATTTGAAAAATATCCTAATTAATAGGGACGCCTGGGTGGCTCGGTTGGTTAAGCATCTGCCTTCGGCTCAGGTCATGATCCCAGGACCCTTGCTCAGCAGGGAGCCTGCTTCTCCCTTTGCCTGCTGCTCCCCCTGCTTGAGCTGTCTCTCTCACTCTCTTATTCTCTGACAAATAAATAAATAAAATCTTTAAAAAATATATATCCTAATTAATAACTAGTATTTATTGAAACATGGAGTGGGCCAGGCAACAGTTCTAAGTGCTTTGTATGTATTTACTCATAATCTTCACAACAGTTTTATTAAGTAGATACTATCATGTTCCCCATTTTACAGATGAAGGAACTAAAACCTGGAGAGTAATCTTAAAGAACACACAGCTAGGAAGTGGCTGAGGCAGGGGGGAGGAGTTAAGATGGTGGAGGAATAGGGGGACCCTAAGCTTGCTTCGTTCCTCGATCACAGCTAGATAAATATCAAATCATTCTGAACAACCAAGAAATCAATCTGACTGAGAGAACAAAACTGCAAGCCTGCAAGGAAGTGGCTGAGGTAGGATGTAGGTAGGCCCTGACAGTCTTGACTCTAAAGCACTGCCACACATCCCTGACTCTCAAACAGGTAGTAATTGTCTTAGGGAGAATATTGGTTAGACTAAAAGCTGGAGAAGTCAGAGGTAATCAGAGATCTAACCAGAGAGGCACCAGGCCCAGAGGTTCTGTGAGTTCTGTCATACTTGTAAAAGCTTGAACTTTTATATTATGTGAACTGTTGCAGAGCAGAAAAAATAAAACCTTCAGGTTCACTTTAAAGGCTCACACAATTACTAGATCTGGACACAAATTGCAGAACAACCTGTAGTCTCGTCTCGTCTCATTAAATAAAATGATAGCAAACCAAATAAAGCATTATATTAAGAGAATATACCAGAGGACCTTTTTACCCCCAGGAATATAAGGATGGTTTAATATTAGGAATTTATTAGTGTGTTATTTGAGTCAGGGAATAAATATTTTTATAGATTAAAAAAAAGGTCATTAAACAAAATTCAGCATTTATTTTTTAATGAAACTCTTAAACTAGAACTAAAAAGAAACTTTATTAGTTTGAGAAAAACTATCAGGAGAAACAGAAACACATTAAGTTAAAAAACATACCACTGATTACCTTAAATTCAGGAATAAGATAAGTATGCCCACACTTGCTTCTGGTATTCAGTATTGTTTTGAAAGGCTTAACCAGTGGGATTAAAAAAGGTACAGAGGTTAGGAATAAGTCAGTTATTATTCACAGATGTTAGGATTGCCCACCCAGAAAATACAAACCACAAACTAAAAACTATATTAGAATTACAATAGAATATCATTATTTGAATATCTGAATATTAAAAATATTCAAACTATGAGTTCTAATTTTTTTTAAATGATACTCTTTTTTTTTTTTTTTTAAGATTTTTATTTTAGAGCACGCAAGAGAGAACGTGAGCAGGGAGTGGGGCAGAGGAGCAGAGCGGGAAGGAGAGGGAGGAGGGGAAAGAATCTCAAGCACACTCCATGTTGAGCACAGAGCCTGACTTGGGGCTCTGTCTCACGACCCTGAGACCGTGACCTGAGCCGAA